TACAGCTTTCTTGGGGTACTTAGTTCTAGACTTGGAAGCTTGACATTTCCTTCTGTCAAAGCAGTGTTGAAAAGCTGACACATATTAAGTTTTAAACACGGTACTGTAATTTTTCTGTTGTTAACATAGAGTGTATATTTTAATTTTTTGATAGTAAAAATAAAGAAAAATATACTGTAACTTAGGAAACACCCTAGATTTTTTTTCTTTATGAAACTGTTCCAGAAGCCAATGACTTCAGAGAAGACATTTCTAGCTCAGCATCCTGTGATGAATGGTTGATTATCCCATTGTCAGATCTGGGTCTAAAGATTAAAATAAGAAGGAATGTAGTAGGGAGGAAGGGGAACTACATTAAGATGTGAGGTTTGTTTTTTTTGTTGTGCAGCTCTAAAAGGAAGGAGGTTTTGTGCTTTCAGAGATATTAATTTCTCAAGGTGCTCCACACACAAACTGATAACAACAAATCAGCCTCATGGTGCTCCTCGAGACTCAGTTCTGCAACCCACAGCTTGGAGTCAAGGGTGGGAAACCAGGAGCAATAAAGGAGCAAATGCATTCTCCTTACTTTCATATCTGGGTCACCCTAATTGATCCCAGCAGAATTCCTCATTGCTGGACTACCTCAATCAACCCACCTCCATCCTCACCTGGAGGAACTTGTCTCTTTTCCCAGCAGCTGAGGCAATACCTTTGGGGAAGAAGAGGTTTCCTCTGTTACTCCAGGGAAGGTTTTTAACCTCATCACTTCCATAGATGTTGCTGGGCAGTCAACATCACAAACCAATGACAGAACAGTACTTATACCCCCTTGTGTTTGCTTGGACTCATAGAAAGGGTGTTCTACAGCTGGAGTAGATATTTTACATAGCCATATATTTAGTTGCTTTTCTTAATGTTTCGTGCACTTAGAAGTCTTTAATCAGTCTTTAATGTCTTCCTGGAATTTTTGGTAGCTGTAGAAATAACTACAAAGCCTCTAAAATCTGTACAATGTTAAAATACAGACCACTAAACTTACTGAACCTTTGCTGAAAAACAGAAAAAATTCACTCTCAACCTGTATAGTAAATCTCGAGGTTAGAAAATTTTTGTTGTTGCTGCAGAACTTGCTTGTGTGGGATGTTACATGTTTCTAAGTGCAAAAAATCCTAAAGCCATTTAATTAGTATCTTTTGCAGCATTTTGGCCAAGTATCTAGGGTCAAGAAGCATTAAAATCTTTTCAAGAAAGATCATTTGTGTACAATTTTTACTTTCAGATATGGGTATTTAAGTAAAATTCAGTGGAGTTTTATTTAAACTTCTAGGTGCTTACACATTATTCCAAGCATTTTTCTTAATTGAAAATGTTTTATAATTTTCTGATCCTGATGATCCATTTTATTTAGTGGCTCTGAGTGATCATGAAAGATTCATTTATTTATTTCTGTCTAGCTATACCTCTCTGTTGTATCTTCACATTCACAATAATCCTGTAAGAGCTTTTACATCTGTATTTATACCTGGCTGACATGATGATGATAATATGCTCTTTAGGTGAAAAGAAGTAACTGTTTTAACTTTTAGTTTTCCTCTCAGACTAATTTGAAAATGGCAAAAAGGGATTTACCACATGAAAAAAATTTGGTGCTCCAGATGTGAGCCTTGTTTCATCCCTTTCTGATTTCTTTCTTCATCTATTGCATCTACTCCTGAAATATCAGAATGCAAATGCATTAACATTCATTACTTCTGCTGAGGTCAGAGAATCTGAATACTTCCAAATTAAAGATAGTGAATTATCGTGTCTTTAGTCTAGTGGACCTCAAATGCTGACTTGTTCAACTGTCATGATGTAACATAGGCTGCTTTTAAATACTGAAAATTAGTCTGTAGCAGGGCTGTTCTGAGTATTGCAGTGCTCTTTTGTTCATCTTCTTTTTTCATCAGCAGAGCTGTTTTCAGGTGTTCACTTTTCTCCGGAGCACTGGAGCTGTTCCAGCAGCTTGTGCAGTCACAGGGAGCTGCTGAGCTTTGCCAGCAACATCCAGTAGCAGAGGGGAGGGATGTGAGCGGTGCATCCCACCACACACAGGGCAGCAGCTGCACTGGATGGAGCGCTCAGTCCTGGCTGTGCCACCAGTAACTGCAGCCAGTAAGGATTCTTCCTCTGGCTGCCTTGGCACTGCTAACATCTGCAAGTTTAATGCCTGCGTGTAAAATGTTCAGGGTGTGCATTCTGCTGCTTCCCAGAGCTGCCCAGTCACACTTGCCTAGTTAAGGTGAAAAACTCCTAATATTGTTCTCATCAGTTACAAAGCTTAGGATTTGTCAGAAGGAGGGAGGTACCTGTGTTTTTGTTGTTTCTGCCTCCAGTTAAGCTTTAACGTTTTTTGTGTGGATAAGCTTTAACTTCTTCATGGTTTTGAAGGTTATTTAAGTGTAGTGAGCTCGGTTTCATACTACTACAGTTCAGGCAGCAATCCTGTTGAGAAGATGAAAGGCAGAAACAATCAGCTTCTGAGTCATTGCACCTTTTACACAGCCATGTAACCAGCTGCTGCTTCAACCAGGCTGACACTCAAAGCCAGTGAAAAGCTTCCAGAAGAAATGCCTGGTGGACACCTATCCCAAAGCACAGAAAAGAGCAGTGACACTCACTAATGCTGCTGCTTACAACAGCCTGTGAGAGGTTACTGAAAACTCACAGTTCCGTGTCTGATGCATTGATCCCCTGGAAAACAGTAAATTCTGATGGGCATTAGAAAGCTGGAAACGGATAGTGCAGGACAAATTTGTTAAAAGTACAGTTGGAGATTTGCTGGGTAATTCTACGAACAGTGAAAGGGAGAAAAGGCTTGGTGCTAAGCTTGACTATCTGTTGGAGGAATAATAACATTCCCCAGCATTTTTGTTTGAATAGCAAAAGTAAAGCAAAGCAGTGAGAGACAACTATGTATAAAATCAGCACTTTCAAGAGGTAATATAAAAAAAAAAAGGAAAATACAAGCTTGACTTGAGACTTCAGTAGCAGATCAGCATTGTTCCATCAAGTTACTTAGCTGGTTTAGTTTGTTTTTCATATTAAATTGTGTGCCTACAGGTGATTAATGAAGGGCAGTATAGAAAGTGGTCAGTTCTAACAAATGGCCTCAGAATGTGTTTATAGTTATAAAACCTCTATGGCCCAATGAGAAAAAAGGGATTGGTTTAAAACATGTAAGAGAGGTGTGTCCATAATAACTCTGTGTCCACCACAGAACATCAGGCTGCCCTTGCTTGCTTTCCCCTGATGTCCACAAATGGGGAGATTCTCAAAGCTCATCATGCAAGTCGTGTCCCTGCTAACTCTGGGAGTAGGTGCCCACCTGCAAATACTGCACAAACCCTGCTCACCCCACTTCATTTTATTTTCATTCTTTAAAGGCAATGTGCAGCAATTCTTATAGGAAAATACTGTATTTTGCTCTAGATTTTACTTTCTAAGTGTTTTTTCATTTCCCTTTCTTTTCAATATATCTTTAAAATATTCTGTCTAGAAATTATCTTGTACTGCTGGTATTTCATTCTACTGAACAATTGTTTTCATTTTGAGAGTCATCTTTCCCTTTCTTCTGAAATAAGACCTAGACTAAATACCAAAATTCTTTCACTGCATATTATGGCTGAGTGCACTAAAATATAAAAACCTTGATTTAAGGTTTTTTGTATTCAAAGATCATAGGCAAGTGTTCATTTGAAGGTTCAGTGGCATTTTGAAATGAGAACATCATATATAAAGATGTCAGAGATGGAGCCTCCCACAGTGAGGTTGAAAGAAGAAGAACAGAATGAATAGAAGAGTTTCTAGGTTCCAAGGAATTTTAACATCTCATTACTTGAGATTACTCTACATATAATTTTTCAATATTTTGTACAATAGACTTTGAATGTATTGGTTAAAATTATTTCATGCCTGGCGTCAATTTAGTCTTATTTATTATCTCCCTTAAATAAAATCTTAAAAATAGCTGGTTTCAGTGAGTGAGCAATTTTCTGTTAGGTGCAGATTCTTCAAGGTTTCCAAAATGAACTTGTAAATGAAAGCAGACAAGGACGTAGAAGTCCTTTAGCATTTCCTGAGCATACTGGTATTATATGAGCTCAAGTAGTTATAATTTTTGCTAAATTTCATTGCATTGTATACTATATCTTATTTCATCCCAGATTTTCATAATCCTAGAGTTAAAGCTCTTGCTACCTAAATAAGTGATGCTAACTTTCTTAGTCTAATGATCGTGATTATTATAATTTGATATATATAATCAGTACTTTGATCAGTGTTCGTATGTCTTCAGTAATCTAAAAGGTTGATAGAACTGTGGTTGCCTGAGGTAGAACTGGATTTTTGAGCACAAGTGGAAGTACCTCTATATTTGGTCTGGCAGCAATCTTTAGCCATACCCAACAGTGAAACTGAGGTCACTGATGGTCTCATCAGCCACATCTCATCCTAAAATTTGTGTCCATTTCTATTTCTCACTTCTGTGATACAGCTGTAAACACAAGATATCAAATAAATGCCTATGTATTTTCTTAAATATCTCAAGTCTTTAAAAACATCCCATTAAGACATGTACCATATGCTTTCTATCTTTGTACCAGGGGTTTAAAACTGTAATAGTTGTGACCTTTAAAAGTAGAAAGCAACTTCTATGTCTTTTCTAGATATCTAAATTAGGTAAGAATTACATAAATATGTAAAATCTTAGAGCTGGTTATCATATAATCACATCTTCAAAACACCTATTGAAAATACCAAATAAATAACTACATGCATTTATGTCAGACAAATACATCCGTTATTTATTATGTAAGCCTTCTTGAATTTGAAAAAGCTTATAAAATAATTAGTCAAGCCCATGGATGCCTCCCTTCTGACAGTGAAATTAAATATTCCAGTTGATTTACATCACTATTTCTATTTCTTATGCTGTTTGTGGTTGTTTCCTAATGCTGAAGAGAAACTTTCTGTTCTAGATACATCAAAATACCTCTCTGTATCTGTTGCATGACAGTGCTTGGAGCTGAATGGAGAATCAAAAAGGAGGAAGGAGGTCTTAGAAGATAGAACTGCCTTCCATTTTATTCCATGTCTGCTGGAGAAAACAGAGAGGATGTCCTGTGAAGGATATCAGGAAGAGTTTCCTTCTGTGAAGCACTGGAAGTAGCTTTCTAGAAAGTAATTATGTTGCCTCATCCCAAGGAGATTTTAAGAACCAGTTCAATAACATCTCTCTTAGTGAGGAGTAGAGTTGAGATCCTCCCACTGTGCAGGTGGTTGAATAGAGAGAAGGTCCTTACAAATAATGGTCCCTTTGACACAGTGAGAAATGTGGTGTTTGGTAATACATGAAAAATTTTGAGAGTTGATATTAATCCATCAGGTTAGAAATATTTGGGAAGCCTTGCTCTAGATGATCCTTCCAGCTCACCATTTCTGCCATGTTTTCATGCCTTCATGTCCTGCTTCAGCTAATTTACAGTGGCATTACAGTGAGTCACCAGCCATGGTCATATTGAGATCTTTGTTCCTTTCCTCACCGAGGGAAGACTTATTTTATTGGTGTGAGCAGGGGTTGGATAGATGAGCTCTTTGCTTTCTCCAATAAAAGATGGGTGACAACAAAAGGATCCTTCCTTCCAGCTCACTGGGAAACACCACAGCACCTGACTGGCTCTTGAGGAAAGCTCCCTCATCAGAGGACATCCCATGCCTTGGGGGCAGGTGGGTAACAGCCAATGGCAGCACGCTGGGCAGGGCAGCATCCCCTGCCAGCACAGTCTGGCTTCCCAGGTCTGCCTGCCAGGTGGGAAAGCTTCTGCTCTGCAAGAGCAGGACCTGTGCTGGCACTCCTTGTAGCTCAGGAGCACACCAGACCAGAGGGAAGAAAGGAGGGAAGAGGAATTTCCTATTAAAAAGAAACTTCAGTAGAAAAGTCAGACAGAGAAAGAAATAAAATAATCAGATGCAAAAGATAAATACAGTCTGGAAAATTGGGAATGGATTGAAATTGCTAGTGAGTAGTTTAGTCTCAGACAGGCCCACAAAAAACTCCCACCTTGGCACCTGAAAACTGAGATAGTCACTCACAACAGTGCAAACCTAATGAAAAAATGCAGCCTTTCCAAACTGGTAAGATTTCAAAACCTTCTGCTGTCTTGTACAGGACTTTATCCCTCTCCTCTTCTACTAGCTCTGAACGGAGGTTTGCTTGTTATCAGGCAGCATTGCCAGTTCTTACAATTTTATGCTGAACTTCGAGGTATTTGATGCTTTATTTAAACCCTCTGCTTCTGAAAATACCAAAAGAAATTTTTTAAAGGTAAAACGAAACTTTCTAGGTCTCATGATTATGTAGGAAGCTCGAAAGTGTGATCCCAGAAATATACCTTAAGACTTAACCCCTCAACATTCAGAAGTCATCATGTGAATATAAAGAACCCAAGTGTGCTGGAGATTTAAATTTCTTGTCTCTTGGATTTTTTTCTCATCTCATAGATATTATGCCTGTTTTCGTAATTTTGGGAAATCCAGTTGATGATCTGTCAAAGTTTGGAGCAGTGCATATACTGAATGAAGGTTATAATATTTCTACTACAGCTTCAAGCCCTTGTGAAAAAAGAGGATTGGGACTTCTCCCTGGAAACTAGGGGTAAGACATTTGGCATCTCCTGGCTAATACTCTCTAGTATATTAATCAAATTTAAAAAAAAACAACAAAAACTTGCACTAGAAAAAACTAAAAGCATTAGAGCATTTACTTTTTAAGACTTGCCATTTGCTTTCCATGCCTACAGTATTTAAAATTTACACTACTTGGTAGAATCTTCTGTGTTTAGCAGACTCTTTACAAAAAGTTTATTTGATGTTTTAAAATCTTTGGATTATTTGGTAACTGGAGAACATGCAGATTCTTGCAGAAGTGTGAAAATGAGTAACAGAATCATTTGCCATGTTTGCATGTTCCTATTGATTCTAATAATAAATCATTTGCCTTTCTTAAATCTTTCTTCTCCAATTTGCCTTTGTGACCTGGCCCATCCTTGAAAACTCCATTGCTGTGTTCGGAGAGGAGAGGAACAGAACGCGGATTTTCAGATTTCCTTCAAGCAAGTTACTTTTCTAGCCTTTTTCCTCTTGAAGATAACTTTGAAAATCCTTACTAAAACTAATTGAGAAGGTTGAAAGCTTGCCTCAGATTTCCCCCCCGTCCCCTAAAGCTTATTCAGAAGCCTTCTAGGATTGGGCTTTGGGGTCTGTAGGCTGCTCAAATCGAAGGCCAAATCCTCAGAGGTGCTGAGCAGCTCCAGCTACAGACTTGGCTTCTTGTTAGCAGTGGCTTCCAGCAACAGCTGCAGCTCCTACAGGGATCAAGACTTAGCGGCTCTTTGCAACTCCCAACAGGCATTTGTTCAGGGCTGATACATTTTTATACTGCAGTTTCACTTGCAGTAGGATGTTTTCAAAAGCCTGTCTCGTGTGCAGTAGCTCAGACCTTTTGCATTTTGCTAAAGATCCTTCTCGTGCAGCTTTATGAGGAATCAGAGTCTTACACAGTCACTGAAAGCACCCAGTTCTGTTTGCAGTCTCAGCCTGATGGTTTGCTTGCTTGGACAGGAATGTATTTTGGGGAACCTTAAGCCTAAATTATTTCCCAGTTTGATGTCTCCTCTCCAGTAGAAAACACAGTTTCACTTGAAGTGGTTGACAGTATGATCCAGCACCCCTCCCCCTCCTGTCCTTGTCACAATCACCTCTCTAAATGCTTTATTCATTACATTTTCATTGTCTTGAATTTATGCACTGAGGAAAGTGGGCTCCCAACATTATGAATGTTGCTTTCAGTCTGCTTAGCATGTCATTTTACTGCCACAGACAGAACTTTCCCCTCTCCCTCAGATGTTTTCTGCTGAGCAGCTTGACTCCAGTTTCTGTTTTCTGCTCCACATCCAAATAGTCTCCTTTTTACATCCCCTTCTTTTAGTGAATTCTGTAAAAAAGTTGCTAAAGTGAAGGATCAAATGTTGTAACAAATACATCCCTGACAACCCTGTGATGGCTGGTTCTGGTCACACACTGGTATAAACTGGCAATAACTGGTGATATCAATAATTACCAAAACTTATCTTGAGCATACTGGGGAAGCAACATGTCACTTGTTACACTGAAGTTTACAAAAGTGATCTGAATTATAATAATATAATATATTCCATTTATATAATGATTTTGGTGAATGCAACTCAAAGTTTTCTAGGTTGAATTATTAACTCTGTTTTACAGATGAAGACATAAAGTTGAAATGAGCTGCCAGGTTCGTGCTGCAGGTGAGTGGTACAGCTCAGAACAGTCCAGTGAACTCTCTGGAGAACTCTTTTGGCTCCCTTTATTTACCTTAGGAGTCTTCAAACAGTAAAATGAAAGAGAAGGGGACATGAGAGGAAATTAAACCATATAAAGACAACTAGTCAGCCAGCTCTTCCTCCTCAAAAGCACAAAATAAAAGTTTCATTCAATCCCAACAAACCCAGATGTCACCAATTAAGAGCAAAAGTAGGAACAGACAATTCAGGCCTTTTGTTGTTGTTTTTAAAAGTGGCTTTTCTATTGAAGCCATATCCATACATGTGATGCAGATCAGACTAATAATACACATTTCCAACTTCTAGTCTTTCTTTGTGATAACATTCTGTTCTGTGTTTGCCAAACAAAAGCTTAAACACAAATGAAAATCAGAATACCAAATGACAAATTCCAGCACTAAGAAATTGAACAAACCAGCAAATCATATCCCATATCCCAATTTCTAATAATGGTGCTGTATATAAAGAAATAAACAAGCTAAGAAGTATTTCCACTCACTTCCAATCATACTTGACATTCAAGTGGTTTACTCTTTTCAAAATACTAAAAGATAATTAGATTTTTTTTGTGTGTAAAATGTTCATATGGCTATTTCATTTTCCTCCTTCCAAATCTGTCCAAGTTCTCTCCTGTGTTTCTTTAAAAAGCAGTATGCATGGGTCTTTCCTAGCTTTTCCTGGAAAGAGCTGGGCCTAAATGCAAAAAACAACTTAAAATATGACAGTTTTTTAACATGTGCACAGCAGTATGGCTGTTGCTGTGCACAGTTTGTAGGCTTGGGCTCTGGAGAGGAAACTGAACTTTGTTGTAGGATGTAGTCTCCATGAACAGCACACGGGGAGATGTTTCTCAGGAGCTACAGAAACTCCCTGGCTGCTCAGAGTCACCTGGAGCAGTCCAAGGCTAGCCAGGAAAGAGCTGAGGTGAGGGATGTGTGCTAATGACCCTGCCAAGCTGATGAGCCAAAGGAAAATGTATGGGGAGGGCTTGTACATGTTATTTTTCTTTCAGATTTGTCCCACTGCTTGGCAGGACCACGAGGTTTGGGTGAGGAGGAGCAAGTGTCTCTCCACTGCAACAGCCTGCAACTTAGTTTAGGCTTGAGTGTGTTGTGAAACCATACCCTTGTGCTTCAAAACCCTCCTTCTCTTATAGCAATGCAGGTCCAGGGGGAGTTCCAGGAGGGTAAATTATGTAAATCTTGGGGAAGGGTGATTAGTTTCTGGCATTCAGACATAATGAAACACATCCAGCACATGTGTGGTAACGTGTGGCATTAAACATCCATTCACAGATTTTACCCCTTGACTGGCATTATGGAAATGTTCACTCAGGGTCACTCTTCCTTTCCAAAAATAAACCTGGGACTGATTACAGACGGAGTTGCATTGGAATCATGTGAAACTCGTGGGTTTGAGTCCAGAGGAAACGTGGGAGGTTCTTGTTGAGATTTTAAGTTCACTTGAATTTGAAAATCAGGATAAAACTTGGGGAGGGAGAGAGTGAACACACATGGATCCACAGGAAAGAATATGTTCAAACCAATCCCTTTGAAATGCAACTGCCAATGGCTTTAGAAGAAATCCTCACTCAAAAAATTAAATCAAAACACATTCCTTTCTCTTAAAAGTCTAACTTTTAATGCTACCAAATATCCCTCTTTCCATTTTGGGCACTACTGTTTGCTTGAACAAATAATAATAAAAAAGCATAATGTGTTGCCCAGTGTCCCTATTGGAGCTCTAAAAGCAGAGGAAAAGTATGTTTTAATTAATTTATAAACTAAAGATTATTTCCTGCACTGCCAGCAAAAATCCTGTTTGCCGACAAGGTTCTGGCTTCAAACATTATCAGCAACTGGCAGGATGAGTCCTTTTATGTAAATGAATTCATTATTATTAATTTCTGCTGGTGCTGAACGATTTATGAACTGCTTTTCGAATATGGAAAAGTGGTTCATGAATCAGAGGGGAAAAAATGTTCAAAAAGTCCTGGGTCGATAAATAACAGTAGTCATTCATGAATCCCGCCCATGGTGTCTTTTATCTTCAGTAGGGAGAAGATCAAAATGATAAAATAGTAATGTGCCAACAAAAAAGGATTGAATGGGCAGAGACTAGTAACATTGTCCTCTTGGAGCCTTAATGGGCAGGGATGAATGGTGACAGACTATCCTTCACTAGCAGGCAGCTGCACACTATCATTCTCCCAAGGTGAAAATGTTCTTTTTTCCTGCCACACAGAGCCAGAATAAGAGGGGGCTGCTGAGCAGAGCCCCGCTTGTCCCCCTGCCTCCACAAACATGCACAAGCTGTGGTTGAGGGATGGTGCTTTTCAAGGAATACAAGCCCATCGTGCACAGACGTCGTAATTGCAACCCTCCCCGGGAATCTCATGCTTCCTTTTACACCTCGTCACTGCCAGTCTTCCTGGAACTAGGATGGTACCCAGTTCTTCTCTGCGAGGGAATGCAGCCCCAGTTGGATTTTGAAGACTCTTATTTGATGAAGAGGCATGAAAAGTAGTTGACTGAAAGTGAGAAATCTGGCAGCTGTTCACCTTACTCCTGCTCTCTGAGCATGCCACCAACCCTCAGCAGATTAGTGCCTTAAGGATAGTACGGTGTGTACAGCAATTTACATTGGCCTTGCTTAGTGAAGGCACTGTTTTTCACCTGTGTTTGAAGAAATCAGGCTGAAACACAAAATATCTCATGTACCAGCAGTGAATTGTGGTCATAGAAGTGGTGTTTTCTCCTTCAGGAAATCCTCTGATGTGCAAGTGCTCACAAAGAACTGGGCCAAATTTGTCCCCAGTCTAATTTCACTCAAATTACAAAGTTGTGCCTAGAATGAGTTTATTCCATTATTATTCCAATGCAAAATGTAGGGCAACTCTATGAAAAGGAAGTAGAGAGGGTCATAAAAAATTCTGTTCTCTAATTAGTTTTTCTTTCTACAGCTTTGATATACAAAGAAATTACAAGTGCATATCGTGATTGTTTGCTCTTAAGTAGCTTTGCTTGTCTAAGAACTTCAAAGTCCTTTCAGGTATTAGTCACAACATCCTGTGAGGTATGAGGAATTCTATTAGCACTAAAGATGAGGGAAACGAAGGAAAAGTTACCTGCAGAAGGTCTTGAAAAGATTTTGACAGACTCAGTAGTCAACTTAGAATAATTGACAACTTCTCCTATGGAACCAATAGTCAAAAATATCTTCCAGAAGAGGAAAATAAAATGATAGATTTGTAGCTGGTTTTTAGCCTTATTCTTATATATATAATTCAAACTAATATTTTGTCCATTTTCTTTATTTCAGATTGACAAAGGACAAAATCTTATGCTTCTGAGCTCAGCAATGAAGTTTTAATCACCCCAACATACATCTTTCCCCAATATATATTTTTCTGTCTACCAAAGACATAATGGCTGCTCCTTTTATGGGAAACCAGGATTTAATCCAGTAAGTCTGTGAGAATCAATATTCTTGTGAAATGACACCATGTTGAAGTTATTTTATGTTATGTTGATGGTTAGCTAATTTTGTAATGGAGACATTTCTTCTAGAAGCAGACATAGTATAATTTAGTGGTAAAAACGTCAATCACAAGGGGTTGAACACTTATGTCAGGGCAGGAAGAGGGCAAATTTATTGATGGAAATGTATCTATATACTCTTTGTGGCACTTTGACCTGAAATATCCATTTTGGTTATAATTTTGTTTTGTGAAAATGACATCAACTGCAATCACTAATGTAAAAATGACACTGGAATGCTTTGTTCCAGAGGCCTGATTTAAAAGTCCTGCTGCTGTTTGTTATAGTAACAGCTTCTCAACAGCAAGGAATTAAGGTACTCATTTAACTGCTCCTTTTCTCTGTTTGTAGGATTTTGTAATACATGACAACATCAGAAAAAACACAGAGTTCTTTTTCTACTGTTTTAATTGTTTAAATAATAAATAGATAGCACGTTTTATAACGACAGTGAAATAACCAAGAGAAGGAGACATGGTGCTCTGGCTGGTTCTATATGTGGATATATTCCTGGGTGGCTTTTCTTCATAATGCCAGCTAACCACCCACCCAAACCCATAAAAAATAACAATAGCAATGGGTAGGAGAGGATGGAATAAAAAAAGTACAGAGGTTGAGAAAAAATAAGTGGCAAGGATGGAGACAAAGAAAAAGCACAGTGCAAAATTCAGGGAGTATAGGGATGTCTCATTTGTGACTTCAGCTTTTTTTTTTAACAAAATTACAAAATCCTTTCAATTCAATGGACTCTGATATTATTACTCGAGATTTACAGTGGTGTAACTAAAAACAGAATCTGGCCAACCCTCATCTTAAATAGGAAAAAATCATTAGGAGCAACATGAATTTTACAGAGAACTTGTGCTATAATGTGAACTACTGGCTATTGTCTATATTGTGCTGGACTATCCTTTCTGAAAATAGTGCCTTTTACCAAGTAACATTGTGATACCCTAAACAGTAAAGGCTTAATCTCTGGGCTAGTCCTGAGAAATCTGCACTTCAGTGTCAAGTGATTCTAACACAATTGAAATTTTAATTTAGAATTAATAAGGATGGAGTCAAGCTTTCCTATCTTCTCCCCTTCCATATACACCCCTTGCAGGACTATCATGCACAGCCAAAAGCTCACTTTTCTCTAACAATCATGTTTTTTCACTGAGATGTACAAAATTCATAATCTGCTTTGTAAATCTTAGTTCTTGGCTCCTTTTCAGGCAAACAAATGACAGGATCGGAGACCATCCAATGTCCTGCTCTGGTGAGTCATAATGATTTTATCACTTAAATACAGAAAAACTGTTTAGAGTCTGAGTAGGTCACAACTTTCAGGCAGGACTAAAAGTGGGAATGTGTCCTGTATTTTAAGGCCATGATCTCCAAAGATGTTTCTTTTGAGTGGTGCTCTAGGCTTTCTATAGATTGATTGATTGGAAGCAGTCCTCAAACAACTAAAGGCTGCTCATTAGAGAACGTAGAGAACTGCTCGTAATCCCTGCTAGAATAGATCAGTAGGTACTAATACAAAAGTCTATTTGCACACTATCAAGCACAGCTAGAACAGCTTGTTCACAGGTTGCCTGTCCTGTATCTCCACATGGGCTGGGAGGAGGTAGGTCAGGAAAGCATCTGATCCTCCCAAAAGTTAGGACTGCTCTTAATGAGTGGTCACTGATCTACACAGTGAAGAAGAATCAAAATAAGACTGAAATTAGGCTCACTTTCACATTTTGACATCAGATCATGGACAGTTAGTATGTGCTGCAGAGAAATTCTGACTGGCAGGAAGATTAGAACAAATTCTTATTTAAAAAAAGAAAAATGTAGCTACTGTTGTGGTTGTTTGAAGCAGAATTTTTGTTGTTGTTGTTTTTTCTTAACCCTAGACATTTTAGTTCTGCCCATTTGCATAGGTAATATTGCTATCGTATTTATTCACACTGCTCATAAAAGAGCACATCACAAAAGTGCCTGGAAAATAAAACTCCAATGAGAAGGGACCCATCAAGTTTAAATGGAGGTTTATATTGCAGCATTATGAGACAGAGGCTTGCACATTTGCAGCTCCCATGGCAGAAAGTGAAACTCTGAACAATTAAAGCAGCGCAGACATCCTGCCCTAAAGGACTGTAAGCATTTAAAAAAGCAGCCATGACCTCCCTTTACTGGGCCTGTTTTCTATTTAATTTACAGTCTTTATTAGCCAAGAAAATCTTGGCTGGATCTTAGTCAAAGTGATGAATATACAAGCATTTTGATCTACAGTTTGGGCCACTTCAAAGTATTCTTTACTTTATGATCATTTGTAATCAAGGTCAGAGCTCTGGTGGTAATTTAGATACCACCTAAACATACTTATAATACCAAAATTGCTTTGCAGTAGCATGCATACTGTCCTTTCTATTTTTGCTCATGATAAGGTTGGAGTTGCAAATGCTCAGGTTCTCAAAAAGTTACTCCTGTAAGTATGTGTAAGCAGATCCATACGTAAGTTTCTCTTATTCAGTTCCCACAATGACACACAAAAAATGGAGCATATATATATGACAGAAAGAAATTGTTTTCATTTCTTTATTTATTGAAATATGAGCTTACTAATTGGGAGAATAGGGAGAAAAAAAAAAAGCCCCCAAAAATCCATTAAACCTTTAAAGAGGAGTTTTTATTCTCTTTGTCTTTGCTTTTTCTTGATTTTCCGGGTTCTTTGCTCATGCTACGAGACATAAGCAGTTTCAGAAGTGTTCCCCTTTTCAAGTACAGGGACTCTTTCATGCCAGCAGCATCTTGCAAAACAGAAACTAAAGGTGTGCCCACTGTTTAAATTTCATCATCTTAGGTTCTAGGCCTATTTCTTCCTAGATATTATGTCTTTCTAGACATTATGTCTTTCTACATCTTTCTCTCTAGATTTATGCTTGCTAAGACAAACCTTCTGATTCTTGTACTTCATTTCTACAGTCTGACGTTTTGACAAGCACAACTCAAACATTCATTTGAACCCCAGCACTGAGACCAGTTTCTTCAGCCTTGGCAGGCACAGACCTTGTCCATTCACTCTGACACTGATGCAGGGGTGCATTTTCAAAGTTAATATTGTATCATGCACCCTTTCATCAGCTCCTTTTCTCTTGCAGCTAAAAACATCCTATGGATATTTTAAGGCCCTCATAGGCTCTTCTGGGCCGTTTGTCCCTATCACATCCATGAGGTACTGACAGATCAATGTGCATCCACTATTCACAACAGATTTCATCCCTGATGTCTTAAATCTTGAACTGTACTCATTTTGTTTCCTTCTGTAAGGGTCCACTCCTATAAAAATCTGCCAAGCTACTATACTTGCCCTTCTTCACATCCTCCCTTAAAACTCTCCTCTGCTGTGACACCTTAAAAAAAAATGATAGTGGTTAAGCAGCTGATGTGCTGTGACTGCATAGTGATCATAATTATCTCCCAGTTACCTTGTCATTTCTACCCCTCTCCCCATCTGTTTGCTGTCACTTGTCTTTTGCTTAGATCAAAGACTCTTTGGGGTATGGATCATGCCTGTATTTCCTGTGCATTTGGGTACTGTCCTGCAGGAGAATCTCTGGTTCTAGGCACTACAGCAGTGCACATATATAAAAATTACTGTTTCTAAAGTAAAATCCTCTGCATTTTTGTATGCATAAATTATAGCCACATCCTGTAATCCATTTTTCAGGCTAAACAATTGACTTCAATGGGAGCAGAGCCAGGGCAGGAGTTGGCCTATAGTCTTTGCTCAAAGCAAGCAACATAACATATTATTAATCACCTTAAATAGAGACTATCACATTCAGTGATGCAATCCTACCTGTGGATAAAATAAATACCTTTCCAGAAACCTTACGACTTCTCTCATTTACACTAGGCCAGGCTGCTCTTAAGAAAACTATTGTTCTGCCAGGGATAACAAGATTGCAGTGACTCCCTGGTCATATTGCCTTCATGTTGATGGCTTGGAGGTTGGCAAAAGGGTGGTGAATACCCAGAAGAGTCTATTATGTGCCACTCTGTCTTTGCCCAAGGGCTCTGGAGGTAGCTCTTCCTTCCCATTCAGAGTTTCTATCTCCCTCTAGAGCAACAGCCCTTCTGGGAGCTGTGGTTTTGAATTTTATTCTGGATTTTGTTAAAATTTATCCTTTTCCATACTGCATCCATAGGCCTAAAGCTGCTGGTTATAATTCACCAGAGTCTGGGGGAAACAATCAGTATGGCCAAGAGTGAAACTTGAATCTCCAGCTCTTTGTACGTGCCTGCATCACAACTGTCGGTGGGGAGAGGTGGCTGCAGAGGCCACTGTGTCCTGTCCTGTTCCTGAGGAACGACAGCTGTGTGCTTCCTCCCATGGAACTTGGAAGAGCTGCAAAGGAGAGGAAAGCCAAAGCCAAAAATAAAAACATGCGCAAAAGCAATGAGCAAAATCTGCCAGATTCAGGGAGCCGTTGTACTGCTGGAGGCGAGCCAGAAATCTGTGGAAGTCCCCTATTAATGCAATGGCTTGGTTGCAATTGCTTCCCCCACACCCCACCCCTTCCTTCCCCAGGTGAATCTTGTCTTGCACGTATAAGACAGGCCACAAAAAGCACATACACTTTTTTTCCCCATAGTTATAATGTTTGTTTTACAGGCTTTCTGCCTAAAAGTGTATTTTCCTCCTCTTCTCTTGCAAGTTTTGGGGCTTCCTAAGTTGCTGATGTGTGAAAGTCAGACAAGCCCTTAACATACTCAGTAAATCCAGTCTGTATATGCTTACTTTCTACTCAAATTGATTGTTATTTTAACAAAGTGCTAATCTTAAATAAATGTTCATAGATCAGGTTGCTTTCCACTTTCTGCCAATGTTTAGGTCATTAGATGCTGGGCTGTAAATGAACCATGCAGATAAGACCTAATGTTAAATATCTGGGATTTTTCTATAAAGGGAAAAATTCAGTAAGGATAAGAATCTCATTGCTTCAGTCCAGAAGACAGCTATTGACTTTCCAGCACTAGGAAGGAACCTTCTGAAGCATTTTCTGTTTGCCATCATCAGGAACAAGGTGATCCTGGTCTGATTCAAAACCCCCTGTTTCCATTGGCATAAGGAAAGTGCTCATAGAAAAATTACTCCAGTGGAACAAAGCATATATATGGGACCAGAAGTACACTCCAGGTTCCTCTCCAGCCTTTCCCAAAAGGACATAGCATGTCTTTCTAGAAAAGGGAGTTATGGTTTGTGGGTTTGGTTTTCTTTTTCCCTCAAAGGACATAAGAATTGTATAAATTTATACTGAACTCATTTTTTACTATATT